AAATAAGAACCAGAGACTCATGTAATGGTACAAGATCCCAATGATGAATGTAACTGTATTGTATACCTAAAATGTACCAATAAAGTTAATGGGGGAAAAAAAGATATTAATGTGAAGATGTCACATGGGAAACAATTCAGTAAATAACCTTCTCTACTTTCACTAATAGTTTTAAAGTCATCACCACATATGAGATTCTCCTTATCAATTTTAATTTATTCTCTATTTTTATTCTATTAAATTTGTAGTCAAGCCTAGTATTTGTGCTTAACTTATTTATTTATTTATCTTTGGTACCAGGGATCAAACTCACAACCTAGTGCTTGCCAGGCAGCTGCAGAACCACTGAGCTACTTCCCTGGCTCTTCACTCTGATAACAATATTCATTTTTGTCTTGTGTTCCCATTGGTTTCTCAATCAGTTTTAATAATTTGTTATATGGTAAATTTTGTCTGAAAGCAAGTATATTTTTCAATTTTCTAATACAATTCAAGTATTGTTTTTTCTGTTCTAATATTACCATGCTTTTAATATGCTGATTATAATATGTTTTGCTAACTGGTTATGTATTTCTCTTCTGACATTTGCCTTTTAATATTTTTTAACCCTTAGAGTACCAAATTCTTTTTCCTTAGTAGTACATATTTGTTGTAATGACATTTACATTCATCTTAGGGTGTAGGCACATATACATAACACATCTTGACTCTTGTTTATTCCTCATTTTTCTTTCCCTCTTCACCTCCCTCCCTCTCTTCTTCTCTAAATCTTCTGTCTTCATTTTCATTATTGTTAGTTTATTTTCTTGACCATTGATGCTAATATTCACTATGGGTATTGGTTGGAGTACCAGTCACATTTTAAATCTTTTTATTTCTCTTCCCCTCAACCCCTTCCCTTTCTCTTTATCTCCTGGCACTTCTCATTTATAAAAGCCCTATCTCTTTATTTCCTTCTGTCATTCTCATGTTTTGCTCTTTATCTGTACTTTGCTTTACTCTATTGAGACATGCCATATGGTATTTAAGCTTGTGTGTTGTGTTTATTTCACTTAACAATATATTTCCCAGGCATATCCATTTTTCTACAAATGTCTCAGATTCATCCTTTTTATAGCTCAGTAGTACTCCATTATGTATAGATACCATATTTTCTTTATCCTTTCATCCATTAATGGACATGCAGGCTGCACAGATATATGTCTCTGGCACATCCCTGATCATGTTGGTTGATGGGAAAAACAGACTGCTGAGCTCTATGTTGAATGTGGACAGGAGGGTGGGGCCTAGGACTCACCTCATTTAAGTGCATTTGACTGGGGCTGGAGGGGTTCCCTTTTCCACTGAGTGATGGGCAATAGGTAGAAATATTCATGGATAAAGAGCCCCCTGGAGGCTGGGAGGACACTTCGTAGTGGCTGCTCTGTTGCAGCTTGAACTTCTCCCCAGGATCTCAACTGTTGCAATCTTCAAATTAACAAAATAGCCTTAGAAATATTGAAAGGCTATATTACATTGATACAAGCAAATGAATGTACATAGCCTTTCAATATCTCTGAGGCTGACTTTGCACAAGTTTTCTCTAATATTACCTGTAGAATTCTAGGGCTTGTTGGTCATATGCTATAATAAAAATCCTTGAATTTAAAATAGCAATGTATTGAATTTATATGTTAATTTAGGGAACAACTTGATAGTACGTTATAGTGAGTTTTTCTATTCAGTTGGCTAAATATTTCTAGTTATCTTGTTTCATTATCCCTTATTAATGTGAGACATGTATCTATATAGCTATCTTTTTGTATATACAATAATTTACAAAATGTATATATTCATAAAAATGATCTATATGTAACATTTTTTCTTGTCATATTTATCCCTGAATTGTGTTAAGATTTGCTGAAATTGCAAATTTTTTTATTTACTTCACTTTCATGTACTTTATATCCTATAAAGAAACTGTTACTGCCGAATCAGCCCGCTGCAGACAGGCAGGTCTGTGCATGCCCTACCGAGGTCCCGAGTCACAGAACACACCAAATCAGCCCACACCCCAGCAACAATCCACTGGACCCCCACACACACTCCTCTGCACAGCCACCTGGTTCCACACTACAAAGATGCAGAGGACACCGGACCATCAGACCACGGTACTAAGTCCTGCTGCTCCTGGCCCAGAGGTAGGGGCTTCTGAGCTGCCGTCCCATTGGTCCTGGTCCAGAGGAAGGGGCTTCATGGCCACCATCCATCCCGCTGCTCCCAGCCCAGAGGAAAGGCTCTTGGGCCACCTTCTGTCCTGCTGCTCTTAGCCCAGAGGAAGAGGCTTCCGGGCCACCATCCCTCCTACCACTCCCGGCCAAGAGGTAGGGACTACTGAGCTGCCATCCCACTGCTTCTGGACCAGAGGAAGGGGCTTCCCGGCTACCATCCCTCCTGCTGCTCCCAGCCCACAGGAAAGGGCTTTTGGGCCACCATCCCTACTGCTGCTCCCAGCCCCTGTCCCACCTCTCCCAGCTCAGAGGAGGTTATCCATGCAGGCACCAACAGCCCTCCCCCCCATTCAAAATGAGAAAACACATAAATAAGTCTCAAAACCGGACTTCCAGATCACCTACAGCAACCCCAAAGGGAAATGAAATGGAACACTCTGATCCTCAACCACCTGGACCCACTGAACTGGCAACAAAAGG